GAGAGAGAGAGAGAGAGAGAGAGAGAGAGAGAGAGAGAGAGAGAGAGAGAGAGAGAGACAGTAGTTAAGGAAGGTAGGCCGTTGCCGGCAAGCGAAGAATGCAGTGGGGGTGGGAGACAAAGTGAGGAGCTGCAGCCAGCAGAAAAAACTGGCGTACCACGAAAGGGCAGCGCTTTCTTTCACTGGATGGTTGCAAGTCGAATCGCAAGCCATGTTCCCCCTGAAAGATGATGGGAGTAGGATTTAACTGTGCGGCTGGCAAGAAGACGAACACGCGGCCGAAGGTCCTAGTAGAGACAATTCACTCATGGAGGAATAGACAGGAATATGAACCATGTTTGGTGAACACTCTACAATAGTCACCGGAAGACGATCCTATCGGGAGCAAAGCGAAACGGTGTTAAACCACCAGTACACGCTTCGCATCGGCCGCGGGGCCGTGTCAGAGGCTGAAAAGCGACGCCGGCTGCCAATTTCTTTTACCACCGGCACGACGGCGCCGACTTTTCCGGATAGGCGACGAGTTTCTTTTCAGCAAGGCTGGGGCCGCGTACTGGCGGTGTAACGGAATCCCGTGACAAGTGCTGTTCGCCATAGTGCCTCGCAAACGCCAAACTCCACGAAGGTAATAGCAACCTCCCAACCCCCAAGCATATCATCCATGTCAGGATAAGCCTTCCGTCGATCCCATAGTTATGAAAGCCACGTTATCCGTCCTGTGATCTCTGGACACTACATCCTCCTGGTAATACTGGCACAAGAAATCCCGCTGGTCGATGCTGTTGTGTAGCCTATAGTGCTGCTATGTCATGATTAGTCTTGCAGTTCTTCTCACTACCCAAACATGTTTGCTATTGCTGCCTTCGACACAAAGGGGATAGTCAACACTTCACTGGAGGCTTGTGCAGGTTCGCTCAAAAACCTGTGTTAAACCCAGGTTAGACCCCGGTTGTAACCAAACATGATAAGCCCAGGTTTAACCCAGGTTAAATCCAGGTTGTACAAACTAGGTAGTTAAGCCCTCGGTTAGACCCTCGGTTAAACCCTAGGTTTAACCGAGATTAAATCCAGGTTGTACAAACTAGGTAGTTAAACCTAGGTTAAACCTAGGTTAAATATAACAAACTAGGTAGTTAAACCTAGGTTAAACCTAGGTTAAATATAGGTGGTAAATCCAGGTGGTTGAACCTTAGGCTGGTAGGAACTACGACGCTGGCGTTAGCAGAAAGTTCTACCCTGACTACCTTAAGCCGCTAGTACAAGGCCCCAGCCTTGCTGGAAATGCAACTCGTCACTTACGAAAGTGTCGGGGGCTCGGCCTACCGGACCGCAATGGCTGGCGGCGCCAGCCAAAATAGAAAGCGCTGCTGGCGGTTCGCTCAAAACCTGTGTTAAACCCAGGTTTAACCCAAGTTAAATCCAGGTTAAATCCAGGTTAAACCCAGGTTAAATAGAAAGAGTGCGCGCCGCTGGCGGTTCGGAAAAGCTTGGTGCGGAAAGTAAGGTGCACCGGTGTACTGGTGGCTTAAGAGTTTTCTCACATCTGAAGCTTAAACCGCCAGTACCTACCGGGTTCTTAGGCTCCCTCTGACGCCCGATGAATATAGACCTGCGCGGTAGGCCAATTCATCCACTGCATGAACGCCTAAAAACAAGGTAGGTACTTGTGGTTTAAACCGCCAGTACCTCCAAGCATCTATTTGCTGAGACACAGTTCCCCTGCGTACCAATGGAAAAAAAAAAGAACCACGATGGACGCGTTTTCTTTTTCTATTGGCTGGCGGTGCGCGCCATTTGGGTCCGTTAACAACTTTATCACTGTTCATCCGAAGAACCGAGAATGTCCAGAATCGGAGAATCTTGCATTTTCAATTATCAAGTTTGCCTGGGCGAGGTACGACTGGCAATTTAATGAAAGGACATTTCTCCTCTTCTGCTTCAAATCCTTAAAAAAAAAAGAACAAGAAAGGGGTAGAAAAAAGGGGACATTTCTCCTCTTCAACCCTGAGCTCTTTTCTAGGTACAGTTAAGCATCTTCACCCACTAGGGGCATACTCACACTAGGACTTCCCTGGATGTATAGGACCGCTTTTCCAACCTTGCCTGGATGCACCTGACAGCAATTACATCCAAGTTCAGGTCTGCGTTTCTGGCAACGTCTGGTTAAAGTGTGTTCACATGTCCTCATCGCATGTCCTCATCACATGTCGTCATCACACGTCACCACATGGCATCACAAGTCATCGTCACATGTCGTCGCCTGTCATGCTGCCATGTCAGTACAGCCTACCACAAGCTCGAATGTTATTCAATGACATAGGGTCTCGCTCCACTAGGACCACTACTATACATTCGACATGTATCTGGACTGTTGTCTGCACCAGATTCATTCCATCTGATCCAGCATTATACATGAACCACGACTATTACCAGATCCAGATACACTTGGAATGTTGCATGGTGGAGCGAGGGCCCTGTAGAGTCACCCATCAGGGCACGTCGAAGGAAATGCTGAAAGGGGGACACGGAAGGACATACCATGAAACAATCACAGACAGGGAACAAATCACAGGCCAAAGAGCATGCTGACATGGCAGCTCCGCTACTCATGTACATCCGACAGGTATCTGGACCGTTTTCTGCACCAGATTCATTCGATCTGATCCATCATTTCAAATGTATAAGCCTATAAGGACCATTTCCAGATCCAGATAAACTTCAAAAATGCTGTACAATGCAGCAAGGCCCATAAAGTCACCCACCCATCAGAAAACTGTGAAAGGAAGAACTCCTGCATGAATTTCGCCCATGAAATAAATCATCACAGGGAATCATCAACCGGCCAAAAAGCACACTGGCATGCTCAAATACGACAGCATGACACCGTGTGATGTGTCCGTCCAATCACCTGTCACGGCATCCGACAGGTATCCGGACTGGTGTCTGCACCAGATTCATTCGATCTGATCCATCATTGCAGCATTAGCTCATTGTCATCACATGGCGTTGAGTTCGAACCCCACCAGTCCGAACATCCAAAAGAAATGCGGAAGTGGCGGCATGACATGACATGCACAAAAGAACATGCTGAAATGGTTATGGGACGCTGGACCCGCTTTCCAGCAGGTGCTTCTCCCACCAATAGATCAGGGCCACGGACCAAGTTGCTAGGGGGTAAACGCGTTTACCATCACTGCTCGCAAACTTGGTGGGCATTAAAAAAAAAAAGAGAGAGAGAGAGAAAAAAAAAAAGGCATTGTACGATGTCAGTCATGCGTCGTATCAAATGTCACAATATTGCATGTCATCATCCTCGCATGCATTAGCTCACGGTCTCGCCACATCACGTTGAATCCCCTATATCTGACGTCACAACATGCAAAAGAAAATGCCAAACCGATGGCACGGCATGACACATGGACGAAAGAACATGCATGCAGACAAGCCTTAGGGGACACATCATGACATGCATGAAAGAGGGAGCCACACCATGACATGCATGAAAGAACATCTCATCACCACGGGCAAAGAGCCCGCTGATATCACACATGGAAGGCCGCATGACACAACATGATGTGTCGTATAGTCCCATCTACAGTACATTGTTCTACGGCTCAGGACAAGATGACATGGTGGTACTGCTGTCTTCCCCGGAACATAACGCACACCGAAAATGAACGCATACAAGCGGTCTTTGCAGTCCGATGCAGTCAAAATGAGGGTGCGTTGTCTTCGGGGGAAGACGGTAGTTGGAAGATGGACCTGGCTTTTATTTACATGTCGACATTTCTTCGACGGGCGTAATGTGTGAGGGAGCACTAATGAATCCTCGACAAGCGTAATAATGTTTGAGGGATATCTTCGAGCGGCAGACGGGTATCTGGATTGGAAGTTGTGCCAAATACAGATATAATGACCACGTCTGCTATGCGGTTGAAGACGGTAGAGTTACATGGCATACATGCATGACATGTCATGCGAACGAGGCCTCATGCTGTCGGTGGACGTAACGTTTGAGGGAGCACTAACGAAATCAAATGGGAGTATAACGAAAATGGTAGATGACCAGACAGTGGCGGGTATCGTCTTTTTGCTTGCCTTCTATCGCCAAAATGCACACTCTTTCTGTTCCAGGAAAGAGAAAAACTTCTCGTTGCCGTACGTACGGACCAAAAACCTGTCATTCTCTTTGCTTGCCTTCTATTGCCAAAATGGGCAGTCTTTCTGTTATAGGAAAAAAAGTGCATAACTTGGGTGCGTGTCCGAGATGAAAAGGTCGTCAGAATACGGTCACCCGAACTGACGGAAGTGTTGCAGTACTATCTCTGAGCGATCAACAAATTCCGCGGAGAGCTGGCCTCACCTCTCACAGCTTGCACTGTCATTCATTCAACACCACATGTGCACACAAATCGATCTGCCGGAAGTAAAAGACCTTCTACATTTCTCACTATGAGCCCCAGGACATCGCGATGACGAGGTAGAGAATTGCCACTGCCCAACCCTGAAAAAGGGCGACTCACACAAATCTACATGTTCTGTCATAACCAGCCATCCAGGGAGCTGCTGGAGGCAGGACGGGGTAGTTTTACAAGAGAGCGTTCCACCCAGCAGATATGTGTATGCACTTTCGCAGACACATCACGAACATCAACCGTTGGTCAGACTAGTTGGAAGATGGACCCGGCTTTATGTACATGTTGACATCAACCGCAGGTCCACAGAAGCCCGGTGTGGTGACTGTGGGCGACCCCATTCACTGCATGCATGCAGCCCATGCAAACTGCTTGAATGCGCCGTGAGATGATGATGTAAGGCCTGCTACAGCCTTGAATACCACTACTCAACATTGGACACGTATCTGGACTGTTAATGGACCACATGCATCCCAACCAATTGATCATTTTGAACGTAGCGGGACCATTTCTTACTCCAGATGCATTTGGGATGCTGTGCAGTGGAGTGAAGCCCAATGCGTGTTGTGTGTCTACGCATGGATCTGTCAAACATAACGCTGCTGACATGGCAGCAACGTTCGGGACTCGGGACTTCGAGCAGTATTAGAAGCCTGCCTGCTGGCCGAATCAGCAAGGAGCATGGGCCCTGGGACTTGGGGACTTGGGATTCGGGCAGAGCAATAGAAGCCCGCCTGCTGGCTGAACCACCAACAAGTGAGGGGCTTGGGACATGGGACTTTGGGACTCGGGACCTCGGGCAATCTCAGCCAATCTGCACTGCATCCCTTACCTTGCATTCACACGAAAAGCGTGGGCCCTGTTGGCTGCTGCTCTGCGGGGAGAGAAGCCGGCGCCTGTAGCAGTTGGAAGTATACTCGAGGGATGGGCCCTTCAGGATGGGATCGCCTGTCGGTGCGCACCTTGGTGGTCATCAGCTGTCACTTCATGGCGGCGCTGAGCATCCAGCAGATCTGGACGGGCCCTTGGGGATGCGATCGCCTGTTACTTGTCCATGACAATTGGAGATGCGATCCACCAGACGCCACATTGTAGGAATATGAAATGACGTACCAGGTCCGGCAATGCAACATTAAGTAGGTGTCGCGACTGCGGCGCTCGTCGGGATGACAGCAGTCGACGACACCATGCCTTCGCTGGCCATCAATCGCCCCTTTCCGCTGCCGCTTGTGCAGCCACCCAGGGCTCGGCTAGTGGCCATCCTTCCATTGCTTGTTCCTCCTCCTCCACCTCCACCTCCTCCTCCTCCTCCTACCCATCCACCCCCTCGGCCACCAACACCCATGCCGCTGTTGCTGTTCGCAGCTTTTCTCTCTCGCTGCAGATCTACCTCCAATATCAACCGGTGAACACTGTCGATTGCCAACCCACACGAGGGACAGACTGTGGTGTGCTTTGGCAGACACGACGAACAGAAGCAATGCCCACACGGCAAGAGAGCATTCTGAACATGCAAACCACTCATACACCAGCATCCAGTCCCCTCTTCCAACCGCCGGATTCGTTCTTTTCTCTTCTCCTCTGCCTCCTGGAGCAGCCGGAGTTGTGTCTGAATCTGTCTCAACGCTGCCTTGTCTGACGTTATCTGACTGAGCTGCATGAGTATCTGGAACGATGCCACATAGAACAGAAGTCAGTCACAGGGCAGACTGTGATGACATATGATATGAAAAAAAAAAGCCGGCGTTAGGGAACAAAAAAAAACAATCGGACGTCACACATAAGCAATGGACGTCAACAACCGTCCACACAACCTGAACCGCAATGTGAAAAAAAAAAAAAA